ATAGGAAAGTGGTTGTGAGCCAGGTAACCATGATGCCGTGCTTAAACAACCCAAACCTGTATGTGTTCTGTGCACAGCTAACTCTGTTTATCTTGGAATGAGGAATGTGGAATAAATACCGGATTGCCGCTGTCCTATAAGAGATGGTATTTTGTTTTAATCTTGCTATATTTAAAAATTCTTTCTTGACAGTTTATTTTGAGTGAAGCAGATGCCCTGTTGTGAAAATGACCACATAGATACAGGTATTAGGGTTATTGACTGTGGGGAATCTTCAGCTTGACCTAAAGTACTTTCAGATGACCTGCAAGAGTCTGAGTGGTTTTATGCATTCTCTTCAATTCATACACATTCAATAATTTTATATTATAATTACACATAAGTGTTGTAAATCAACTGACACGCAAGCACATATTGTGGTTAGATTGTACAGAGACAAACAGGAAAAAAAATAAATCAACTCCAGATTTTACACAAATTCCTTTGTGTCCCTAGAGAAGGAACACTGACTCAGGATCCAGTTCTCTTCCTATTGTTGCACAGAAAAAAAGTGCCCAGCCACTGTTTCATATTAATTTAGGTCAAAATACAAATCAATATAAATGCTTTTAATAAGATTTTTTGTATATTAAAAGTGTTTGGGCATGTACCATCAAAAGAAAATTAATTTTCATCATGTGCTGATTTATGAACTTTACGTTTTTTTTTAAAAATCAACTTTAGTTTTTTTTCTCCTAAGAATACCTGTATGAGTTTGAATTATTTTTAACTTTTTATCTTTACATTTCTTGTGCATTTCATTCAGACGTGTACACCTTTTTAACTTTGCAATGTTTCTGTTGAAGCAGACCTTGCTTTCACTATGCATTTGCAGTACTGTGTTTCAGATGTTTTGTTCTAGTCATTGAGCTGAGTTTTTTAATCCTTCCTTTAGAAACATTCTATGAAGATTTGCAAGTAATCTCAGGAGTGTTTTTGTATATTTGGAGGCAACTCCATTTTGAATGTTCATAGTCATAGTAAACTACTAAAGTGGACATATAAAAATGTAGGATCTGATCCAACCAAAGGTAAACACTATTAAGCCTTCCTGTTTTCAGCAAGAGCAAATTATTAGCCTTTCCTCCATTGATTTAAAATGTCCTGCTATGTCCATAAAGCAAAGGTAGACAACTCAATGCTTTCCAGTTGGTTTTTTACTGCCTTTCCTATGATCCCTGTCCATTGCCTGTGCTGGCTGGGACTAATATTTGGAGGGCACTAGGATGCCTACCCCTGCCATAAAGTGTTGAGTAATCCTGCAGTTCACTGAAATTGACATGCTACTGCTATCCTTACAGGGGTCCAACTCCAAAACTAGAAATTTAGTATAGCAATAACACTGGCTGGATACGGGGGAAAATGGTTATGTGTAAAGTTGTATAATAATATGGATTGCTCAGCATTGAAGGACGTCCTGTGTATGACTCTCTGTCTCCATGTACAACATTGCATGCATTTGCACATTTCCTTGTCTGTAAGCCTTCCTCTTTACATTAAAAAATGTAACTTGATTTACAGTCATGCACCCAATTATGTATTGAAAAATACCACTAATTTGAACATACCTGTAGATAAACACTGCATTACCTTACAAGGGTAATGATGCAGACTTTAGAAGTTAAGGTTCTTCTATGGCATGTGGTTAACATTGTTGCTGGTGCTACCTGGCATGATTTCATCTACAGGCAGTTCTTCTGCTGTCAGTTTCTAGCATACTATGGTCTGGTTTAAGTAGGGCTGGTCTTTAGTAGGGTATGCAGGCTGAATTTGTAGCCCTTCTCTTTGAGTTGCAGGGGGATGTTTCAGGGCTCTCCAGGATAGAGGATGTTTGCATGACACACAAAAAGGTTCACCAGGAAGCACTGAAAACACTGACAGTGAAAATCAAATAGACGGTCTGACTGTAGTACCCTGTACAAATGTGAAATAAAACCAGAGTTATACGCAACCAAGGGCAGAGCCTACATTAGATTATAGATATGACTAGCAGGCAGGCAAGGAAGAAAAAAGACTAAGAAGTAGTAAGTGGGAACTTGAATACATGAACAACTGGTCAAGGAAACAGCTGAATTTTATCTAAAGCTTATGTCTATAGATAAAGAAGGGTAACTCTGTGTCCTCTAAAGAACAAGCCACTGCTGGCAAAGGCTTGATTCACTTAAGGAAATATGTTGGTTTATGTCTCCCTGTAGCTGAAAATAGGGTAAACTGAATAGCCCCTCGTTCCTTTCAATGATGTTACATAGTTTTAATATACTCTGTAATTATAAATACACCAATTACATTTGGACAGATCAATATATATATAGACATCTACACAGCTTATAACCTGAAATGTCTGCTACCTAATTCAAGCATTTGTTTCATGTATATTTCTATGCTTGTGTTTTGGCAGCAGGAAATTACGTACAGCATGAATGCTGGCATACAAATAATTCTGTCTTGCTGTTTTGTCAGAAATTACCTTGCAATATGGAAAGGGACAGGGTTCTTGAGTGATGTAATTTATGACTAAACAGTAAGCACAGTAAAGTAATGCATGCACATTATGTGAAGCCATCTTATGCGTGATCTTAAGTGTCACCTGTATTAGTTTAATAATCATGGATCTGCACCAGGAATCAGGTTCTTTCAATACCCTCCACTGCTATGTGGCATATACATCTGTGACAAGTGACATTACAGAAGGTCATGTCACTTTTAACTGCTTGCATTACAGCTTTCTGATTTCCCTGGTGCCTTCCCTTTGTTTGATTAGTACTACTTGATTTCAAGCTAGGTTGCAGACAGCAAAATATAAAATTAGAGGAGGAGTCAAAGACAAATTTAGTATTATTTTCATTGAACCTCTGGTTAACCCCCCCCATCCAATTTTCCTTAAAAATCCCATGATATATGTATTTTTATCCTGTGACATATGTATTTTTCAGTTAATTAGATCTGATGGCATTCACAACATTCAAAATTCTAAGGATGAGTAGCCATGCTTATAAAACATATTGAAGATGGATCAAATAAAGATACCATAAAATCAGCACTTTAGCTGTCGCAAAGTAAACCTTCTCTCACCCATGCAATCATATAGCTATACTGTCCTGAATAACACAAAAACGTTATTTGGACAAAAAGAACAAAATTAAAAAGAGGGTGTCTGTGGGTTAGAAAGCACTTTCAGGTGATTCTTTGAGTCCATGATAAAAAATAAAAGGAAATACTGGACAGTACCAGGAAAACTACTTTCAGGAACTACATTAAAACTCCTTCTTCAGCCCTCTTATACTCGAATATATAAAAAGAAATTTTGCTGTTAGTGGGTTAGAACTGCCAGAATTTTAGAAATGATCTGTCTGTTAGAAGTATCTGTACAGGTTCATAACATGCTTTGACAGGCTGCCAGACTGCTCATGGAAAGCTAGGTTAGCAAGGTTTTAATCCTTATCTGTGTGCCATGGTGATGAGTATCATTTCCATTTAAGGAGAGGTCCAAAAGACCGCTTCTTCCTCTAACAAGCTATTTTCATTATTTTCTACTACTCAAAATTATGGTGTGCCATTGCTTGGGAAGAGTGGGACATGGAGAGGTAGGCATACTTTACCTGTTGAGGAGTTGTCTTCACCCCCACCCTCATCAAGTCTGAGAAGACTTCCATACTCCCATGAATCTCTAGATACTCAAAAATGGGAAGTTTCACATCCTATCCTTTTCATGACTCTTTTCACAGCTGTCATAAGAAAGCCTTCCTTTCTTTCAACCAATCTAGCAAATCTAAGTGTTCTTTTTTGAACAAAGAGGGACACTTACAGAGATATAATGACTGTGGAAAAGTTGGAAGGCACTAAGAACTATTAGGACAATACCTTAAAACTGGAGAATCGCACCAAAAAGGGGGAGATATACTTAACTCATTTTAATGGAAAACCCCTTTACCACTTCTTTCCAGTTGACAGCTGTTGAGTGTGTGCAAAGCACCAATATGCAGTCTCATATGTATGGGATGTAGTAAAAGTAGTGCATTGTCATCTTTACTTCAGGTGTATTAAGCAGGAAGTCAGTTTACATTGTTGCTTTAGTAAAGATGTTTGTCTACTACATGTTATGACCTATAATGAATACATAAATATTTCTTTGGATGCATCTGCAAAGGCTTGCCATTCAATTTTAAGTGGGGCTTTCTGTCTCAAAGCTTATTTTTTATTTTAAATTAGTTTTAGGCTATCTTTTAAAGTAAAACTATTTCAAGGTGGAATACAGGATTAAAATATGCAGAAGTGTATAAATAGGCATGCACACATACACACGCACATGCGCACACATATATATAGCAAAATTTACCAGTAAAACATGTAGCCCACATTAAGGAAGGCCAATGAAAACAGGTGCATCTTCAAACCCTGAAGTCCTGCAAAGGAAGGACCTAACAAACCCCTGATGGATATTTGATTCCAGAGGTTCTGGGCCTCCACTAAAAAGCAGCCCTCCCTCATACTCACTAGTCCAAGCAACTTTGGAGGTAAGTGCCTTCAAGTGCAAGCAGTCTGACCTGGGAGAAGGTGGTCCTTCAGGCAACTTCATTAAAAGCTTTAAAGGTAAAACCAGCATTTTAAATTGGTCTCAGAAATGCATGGGCAAGTGCAGTTGAAGCAGTAACAGGGTCAAATCATCGGATTGCTTGGCCCCAGCCAATATTTGAGCACTTAAAGTTTCTGAACTTTCTTCAAAGGCATTACAGTATTCAAGCTGGATAACACCAGAGCATGATCTACCATGCTGTTCTCTTAAATATTCGGTGGAATATTACACAGGGAGAAGATTTCAGAATGCTATTTACTTATTTGAATCTCTAGGTCAAATATATGTGGCAAATTGTTCTTTTGTAACTTTATTTCAAATATTTAATTATTTTTGATCTACAAAATCTCAACAAAATACTCATGACAACTGCTATTTGTGTCTGCAGGTAGTGGAGGACATGCTAGAGGACGAGGAAGAAGAAGATGACAGAGATGACAAGGTAATTATCTTTCCTACCACTTGGGTATCTTGGGATGAGAGAATTTAGACATGACAGTGTTCTTGCAGACAGTTAAAAAGGAGCTGAAATGTTTTTAGTCCAGAAAATTGGACAGAGCTGTTTATCATCCTAACAATGCCAGTATATGTTGTAAGAGGGGGCAGAGGACTATAAATCCTCTCTTTTTTGTCCAGAGCTGGGTCATTTTTTTTCCTTCTAGGAACAAAAATAATTCAGCTTGTCTGGAACTTGATAGCTGTTGTGAAGATAAGTGCAGTGACAACTGTTTTTGAAGGACAAAAATTTGTCCTGTCTTGAGTATTACAAATAGGGCTGTACTTACTTTCTGGGAGAAATGTTATAAAAATAGAAACACCATACTGTTTGAAGGTGGTCTTTTGCCATCTATAATTTTCTGAGATTACTTGGCAGAAGAATGTTTGATGTGTGGTGCACTCTGTATGATATTTAAATAATCACAATTCTCATAGGCCTCTTACAGGTGGATTTGGGATTGGTATTGTGTGGCCCAGCATCAACCTAAGGGGACTATGGTTGTTCTTTCAGCTCTTGAGAATGTTGCTTAGTTCCTAGGTTGCTGGTTGGGTTGAGGATTGCCACCACAGTAAATAACAGCTAGTTTATACAACTTATTGAAGCAAGCAATAGGACTGCATGGTTGTCCCTAGAGGGGAGGGAAAAGACACAGAGAGGAAATTAGAATGACCTTGTAAAGTGAAGCAACTGTGTTAGTTAGCAGGGCTGGTTTGTGGGGAATAAAAGTGCAAGATAAATGCCTTTAAAACAAATAAAATGAAGGGATTGAGAGAATGAGGTATTCAGATTCTTTTGCAACACTTCATGTTAAATACAGAAAACATTGACCTTCACAAATGTTCTCATGCTTCTGTTGTAATAAAGCAATGACTTTTTTTTGGAAAGCAAAAGAAAAAAAACTATCTTAATTTATGTCCTTGACCTTTGTTGCTAGTAGAGATGTACAATTCTGAACCACTAGAAGAATTTGTAGGCTGGCAGCCAGAAAACATTTGAAGTGTCAAAAAATTCACTCTGATTAGTTAGTTCGCTTTACCAATGAAGGGCCACTTTCTGAAAGATGAATTTCTTAATAGTTCTTTATTTTGTTACATTCCCTGACATATGACATTTTTTTTTTCTGTGCATGTCTAAATGCTTTTGCTACAAGCTGCAATCATGAAATAATGCCATATCTACATTTTCTTTGTGCAAAGTCACGTGTGCTCTTTCTCAATACTAAATTGTGTGTACATGCCTGGCAATAGATTATGTGATTTATTGTGAAGGTCAGTCATGTAGCTCTAGTGAGCTTGTTTATTAACGTAAAAACATTTCTCCTCTGGTAAATGTGGGTCTGATATCCATTTGTGAGTATTTTCCTTCTCTTGTTCATATTTTATTATAATTATACTTTATATAAGTTGTATTAAGTAATTTTTGTATCCATGGAAATGTTAATAGCTGCAGCTCCTTAAAAATGTATGTACTATAGTGCTTCAAATTTACCTTAGTTTAAATAAATTGGAGCTAGTTGCTATGTAAGTATGTGCCCTAGTACAGCATTACTAGATAATCATTAAGGGCCTTTTACTGACTTGCTAAAATACATGACAAGCAAAACATACACAGCTAAAAATAACACCTAATATCTGGAGCTGTAGCAATATTTAATATTTGGCAGTCTGAATTAGACACCATAGTTCCAAAACAGCCTTTGAATATAACTACCAATGCCAAGTAAGTGTGCACTTAAATGGCTATCTGAATTCAGTGTTACTTTTTCTTGCATGAAAAGCATTTGGACTGAATACTCATAATTCCCATTTAATGTTAATATATGTAAATACAAAGCCTACATGCATAGACTAGACATAGTATATTTGGAGGAGATCATTCACAAATTATTTAAAAGGATGAATTTTAGCCCTATGTACCTTAAACTGGAGTGCATTCCTATGAATTATTAACTCCCTCCATTTTAAGTGTGTCCATAATACAGTTTTGAGAGAAAACAAATGTAAATTGCAGTGCTGATTGATGCTGACCTCTAGCTCTCATTACTTTTCTGTTTTCTCATTTAGTAAAATAGCAAAGTGAGGTCAGTGGGTCCTCTTATAGAATAAAAGTCAAAAGATTAATAAATGTGCCAAAGCCTCACTTTAATTGAAACTGAAGCATATGTTGCAAGCATATAAAATATGTCCCAGATGTTTGACTATGCCAAGTAACTTAGTTTTCCCCGATTACCACAAGGCAACTATTAGTCCAGTAACCTTTGGACTTGGGGGTAAATGGGGTATTGCATGGCAGACAACTAGAGCACCTGTTTTCCATTCAGTAAAGACCTCTGGCAGGCTTTGCCTAAGCTGCACCATATGTTTTCACTTAGCAGATTGTTGGGTGATTATGAAAAGTGTCTTTCCTCAGAACTGATGTAGATATTAACCACTTAGTCAGAATGAATGGATAACTTATTGGCTACTTCTACAAAGCTTGTGTGGGCATTCATTGAAGAAGGATTACAGATGGACAGAGTTTTGTTTTTGACAGCCCCGAGTAAACTGCAGAATGATAAGCAGAATCATTAATATCTGGGTTTTTGTGTTCTGTTAGTACCCTATAGGAGTTTTGTGAGGCTGGTGAAGTATAATTCTCATTGAATATTTGTCACCCAAATATTACTTCAGTATTGGATATGTGGCACTGTTGATACTTGCTTGTCCACTAATATGCCATGTAATATCAAGTCATGTCATCACTAGATTTGATCTTAGTTAAAATAAGTGAATTTTAAAGTTTCGTGTTTCCTGCTATCCTATTAAGAGCATACTAGATACAGCAGACAAAGACTTTGGTGATAAATTCAAATAAAATGGGTTATTCAGTGTTCATCCTACTTAGAATAGACCCAACTGAAATGAGTGGGGTTTTGAGTTAGATTAACACTGTATACAAACCTGGTGTGTAAAACTCACCACAACCATTTCATTTCTGCAAGAAGGAGGTATCTTCTATATATTGCTGCTGCTTGTTTTGCAAACACCTCCCACTGATCTCCACTTCCAACTGTGCCTGTCTATCAGTTAAGTAATCAACCAGTTTTGGAATGCCAGATCTTTTCCTAAGCAGAATGCATGCTGCAATTTGACCAGTAAACTACCTTGTGTGTTGGCAAAGGCCACGACCCATTTGTGTCCATTGGTTGGGTTGGAACTCTACCAAGAGAAGGGGAAAATAGGACAGTTCTTTGGAACTGAAGAAATTTTGTTTTTCAAATTGCATCATCCTGTAGCCCATACAATTCAACCCAACCAATTTTGGGTTTTCAGGCTGCACTAAAATGGTAGCTGATTATACTTAAAAATAGCTAGCAAATAACCAGACACATCTTTCCAAATTGTGCAACTGTATTTCTAGGGACTGTTATTTACATTTAAAAAAGTCTTCTGTTATCACAGAATTAGCCCTATTATCATTTACTTTAAAGTGTTAGGAACTAAAAGAATGTCTACTATCCTTTGCAAATGCAAACTTAATCCATCGTCATGCAGCAAGCATTCCTGATCTCACATCAGTGAAATTGACATCAAAAGCAGCACTGTATGGTTCTGAATTAACTTGCAATTGCCATTCTGAACTGAGCTTTGAGAGATCATGTTTGGACTTGTGTTAGTCTCTTTGGGACTGTGGGTTTGCAAACTACTGAAGGCATTACTCTCATTCATACAAGTAGCTTTTTCCCTCCTGACCAGTATCGTACCGATAACAGTAATTCTTTTATTAAGTAATCCAACTATAATGCAAATAAATATGCAGATAATGTCTTGATTTATTAACTGTGTAGGAAGATAATGATTTTCCTTAGTGCTCTCTCTGAATGTAAAGAAACATATATTTTTGCAACAGGAGGGCATATAAATATTATAAATAAATAAATAAAATATATTCAAAACTTTTTCTTTTAGAAGATAACACAGTGGAAAGTGTATATGTCACTATTCATTTCTGAATCTAAGAAAATTATTTACATCCTTACTAATCCAAATATACTCATATACCTGAAGAATAATTTGTGTATTTAAAAACATATCCCGCACAAGCTATTTCTGTGTGGCTCCGCACTCTGGGAAACAGAGTGTTCTGGTTGTTTTTGAAGAATATATATTGTAATGATACTTTTATTAACTGAACTGAACTAAATGTGAAGTTCAGTAATTTGCTTGTGTATACTGTCTTAAAAAATGTGGTACCCCAGACGTGTTGGAATGCTGATTCCATAATGGTAACATTTCTCTGATGCTGAACTCAGGTGGTAGGTGCTAACAACATTGTAGCCCAAACAAACGAGAGGGGATATTGGCATGCCACTTTCCAGCTAAAAGCAACAGAGGGCCAGTTTCTACCAAAAGACCAGTGAGAACTGAACATGCTTAATAATCACAGACTAGGTTAACATTAAAAAAAAAGATTATTTTGGAGAGGAAGGAAAAGATGCTGGAATGTCCTGCTGGATGATCGTTTTAGGAAAGAGGATGCACTTGCAACATCTAATTGCAGGACCCACTTGTTCATATCTAGTTATCATTGAGTCCTCTGTTATTTTCAAAACGTGCTTTGTTTGTTTGGACATCAGATGTCCAAGATCTGTATGGGTATTCCAGTGGTGCATATGGGGAAAAAATGATTTAAAAAAAAATACTATGGCGTTGACAGTACCATATTTTATATAACCAAATCTATATTCTTTCAAATGAAGCCTTTATTTTAAAATGAGAAAAAACAACTTTCTTTTAAATATAAGATGGTAATGGCTTGTGGATGTAAGTATGCCAAATTTCTTTTTGGTATTTAATATGGATACTAAAAAACCTAGTATCTCTTTGATCAAAAAAAACATGTGTTTGAACATTTTGTGGACAGTTAAGGTGATGTGATAGGCCAGCAAACAGCTGTAGCAGTCT